CAGCCAGCCATGCTGGCTGGGGAATTCTGGGAGTTGGTCCACTCATCTTAAAGTGGCCAAGTTTGGACAACACTGGCGTAGGCGCTCCTGGAAGAACTCGGGCGCCAAGCCAGAGGGGCCACTAGAGGTAGTCCTCACTTAACAACCATAATTGGGACCAGCAGCTCTGTCGCTAAGCGATGCGGTTGTAAAGCTGACATTACATGACCGAACCAACTTAGGATGGCAGTTGTGGCAGTCTTAGTTGCCGGTGTTAGGCAAATCCTGCGTGGTCACAGTGCCCTGTAGTCATACGGTCACCGTTTACAACCTCCTGCTGGCTTCCCTTTGACTTTGCTTGTCGGAAACTAGCAGTGAAGGTCTAAAATGATGATCATGTGACCAGGGGATGCTGCAATGTTGTAACTGCAAACCAGTTGCCAAGCATCCAAATTACAATTACACAATCTTGAGGGCGCTGCCACAGCCACAGTTACGGGGACCCATCATAAGTCCCCTTTGTTCAGTGCCATCATAACTTCAAACAAATGGTCGTTCAACAAGGACCAGCACCCTAAAATGGATCCGGAAACCAATCGCCAACCAACGCAGGGTCTGCAACACTGGTAATATGCTCCCAACAATGGGAGCCCAAAGGGATGCCAGGCGCTGCATTTTGGATCAACTGTAGTTTCTGACTAGTCTTTCAGGGCAACCGCAAGAAGAGAGCATTATGGTAGTCTAGCCAGATGGTGATAAAGGCATGAGCTTCAGTGCTGTGTGTATGACCTACATCAGGTTCTGGGTGGGGAGAATGCAGCCCTCCTGGCCCTATGGGAGGTCTTAGCAGTGTTCAGTATCAACCGTGGTATCCTTCGGGACCCCCTGCAAGGGTTGGCAACCGGGACCACCATCAGAGAAAGCCGCTCCAACTCGTGGGGTTGGGGAAATGAGCGGTCAAGTCCCCAGCCATTCCCACGGGGGGTACCAGAGGGATCAGTAATTTCCCCCGTGTTGTTTAAGATCTGGATGAGATCACTTATGGCTTGAGTTGAGCTATCATCAGTATGCTGAAGATACCTTATATATATCTCTACCGTGGACCTGAGAGGAAACCCTAGGAGGTCCTCACTAATCTTGGGAGGCAGCAAGGGACTGGATGAGACCAAACAAGTGGAAGTCCACCTAACCAGAGTTGCTGCTTATCCAGAAGTCACCAGGTTTAGCAGAGGCCCTGATGCTGGCTCTGGATGGGGTCAGACTCCCCCTGAAAAATCTTCTGGGCTCATGGTTTCTCTCTAAGCAGCGATGGAGGCCACGGCCAGGAGAACTTTGGCAGACACTTTCTGGAGCAGAGGGCCCTGGTGATGTCTACTCATGCCCTCGTTACTGAGGCTTGATTGCTGCGACCTGTTCTATCTGGGGCTGCCTTTAAAGACTATCCAGCCACTTTGGTGATGCAGGTGTTGACAGCTCCCACGCTGGCATGGGAGAGCCTTTTCAGCAGCGTCACACCTGCATCGGCATGATTCTAAATGCTAGTCTGGACCTATAAAGCCTACATAGTTTGGGCCACGTTACCTCTGGGCCCGCCTTCTCCAAAGAGAGTCGGCCCGCTCCACAATCAGCTTGGGAAGCAATGCAGGAGGCTCGGAACAAAGTTTCTGTAGAGGCCCCTTCGCCCTGGGATCTTCTGCCCCTTTGGTCTGAATGCCCCCTCCACATTTCTAAATTTTAGGAAGAAGGCAAAGATGGTGCGATTCCACAGGCTGTTGGGGCCCCGAGAAGCTTCCTGTCCACTGCTGTTTGCATTTGGATCGTGCCCACTTGCTTCTTTTCATGCCCATGGAGTCCTGGTGCTCGCCGAGGTTGGTTGTTTGCCTGAAGATGTTTCGTTGGCCTTTTTATGCCGCTCATGGGATTCTTGTGCCAGCCGCTGGCAGTTTGCAAAGCTGGAAATGAGATTAATAAATTAAGTCACCCAGCGCTGGGCTCAACCCCAAGGAGGCCTTTTTTAGGAGCAGAAAGTGCAAATGGGGAACAACAGGACAAACCAAGTCCTTTCCCCCTTTCCAAACAGCAAAAAGGCTAGACTGGTGGGGTTGGCCCATGAAATGCCCGCTTGACGGGTCTCCTATAATCCCCAGCAAGCATGTGTACAGTAGTGCCCTGGCACGTCTGGAGAGCACCCGATTGCGGCAGGATGACTCAAGGTGTCAGCCCACCTGGCTGAAGTTGGTGGAGGGAGAGGGGAGGGGAGGGGAGCGAACTGGTGCCAGTTTCACCCATTCCAGTGCAAGGGAAGAGCCTGACCCGCAAGCTCCGTGTGGGGCTGTGGGAACCGATCCCCTTGCAAGCACAAGAGGGGGCTGGGAGAGCAAGGAAACCCGAACGGGAAGCCGCCTTACCTGAACTGCCTTCTGGCCTTTCTCCGTAAAGGAGCAAGCCCAATGCTTGGGAGCAATCTGCTTTATGCACTGCAAAGGCCACATCCTGGCTTCTCTTTCCGAGCCCCCAGAAGCCCCCAGTCAAAACAGAAACCAAACGCTGCAGGGCTTGAACCTCAGGTAGACTGCCCCAGCCTGTGGAGGTTCTGATGAGTTATCCAGGTTCAGGGCTGCAGCTGATTTGGGCTTGGTTACCGCCTGTGAATGGGTTCCATAATTACGCTTCCAAGCTAATGGCGACCCATCGCCACGTTTGTGCGGGCAGCAAGTTATTCCAAGACAAAGCAGGGAAAGGAGTTTCTAATAATTCATCAAGGATTCAAATGGATGTGGGTGGAAAGAGGAGTGATGCTCACCCAGTTCATTTGATCCTGGGACAAACAGGTGAACTTCAGTCTTTCTGAACCTAAGAATCTCCTTCTAGTCCTTTGACTCCTGTTTCAGTTCAGAGGCAAGAACAAAGTGGCTCTTAAGTGGAACTCTAGCTGCAGTGGCAGTCTACCTGCGAGGACCGTCATTTCAGATAGCGTATGCCAGTGTTTCTCAACTTTGGGAACTTTAAGATGTGCGGACTTCAACTTCCAGAACTCTCCAGCCAGGGTGCTGGCTGGGGGATTCTGGGAATTGAAGTCCGTACATCTTAAAGTTGCCAGGGTTTGAGAAACTCTGGTCTGTGCAATTCTTTTCCCCAAAGCAAAGTCCACAAATGCAGCTGAAAATCCACAGGCTGCAGTCATGTGAAACTACTTAATACACAACACAGACACAGGCAGGCACATACACAGAGACACACACACGAAGCAGAATCCTTGTACTTTGCTTGCAATTGGCAATCATGATTAAAATCACTGGCCTTGCAGAGGCAGCTGCTTTGAGTCAACCAGGGGTAGGCAACCCTTTGGGGCGGGGCCACATCTGGGATTTTGAGCACAGGTGGCAGGAACACTCACAAAATGGCTGCTGTAGAAAATGCGACTGTTAACAACATGGCGGCCAGAGCAGACAGGTCTGATTACCAAACACAGTCAATTCTCACTTTTCACAGTAGGTTATGTTCTATAAAATCGCCATGAACGTTGAATTAGTGAATACTGAACCATTGCTCCTAAGGAAATACAGGATTAGATTCCTACGAGCCTCTGGTCACAACATTTTCATCAACCAATCAGTATATAACCTTGTTTTATGTGTGTTTCTGTTTAAAGACACCTTATTTAATATGTGTGTGTCTTCTTTCTTTCTTTCTTTCTTTCTTTCTTTCTTTCTTTCTTTCTTTCTTACAAACAAAGTCCTGGAAAAAAATAAAGATCAACCATTTAAAGTTTTATTTTAAAAAATCTTACTTTTGATGGCCATTTTAACCACCCAGATTACTGAGAGTGGGCAGACATGCGCAGAGCGGCGACTCAAAATGTTCACATGTCCTTCAATAACCGCGAAAGCATCATGAGTATTGACGGGGGGGTTACACATCATTTTTAGCGAGGAGGCAAATTTGCAAATACAGAACCTGCAAATAAAGTAATGCCAGTGGCGCCTTGGGGGCTTCAACAGCCTTGTCCAAAACCAACACAATACTACAGGGTTGCTCCCTTGCTTTGTGGCGTGCCAGTTTCGGTTTCCACCCTGAGTGTCCGTGAAGGTCCCCTTTTTCAGACCAAGGGCTGACTCTGGCTTTGCTCAGCACCCTGAAGCCCCCCAAAAGGAATGGATGAACAGCAAGCAGAGCCAGAATTACTGGGTGAAGTCAGAGTTTTTTTTTTTTTAGTGCCAAAATAAAACTGCAATGAAACAAGCAGGGGATGGAAACGCAACGCCTTGAAAACCGGCCAAACCACACCACCCCATTGCAGCCTTGGATTGAGGCCGGGATGTGCAGCCAGGTGGGAGAGAATTGCCAACCGCTCGTCTCAGATGTAAACTCGCAGCCCCGAGAAGCTTGCTTGTCCTTTTTTAAGTGTTTCTGCCCAACACGCGCACACCTGCGGTCTTCAAGTGATGACAAAGGGAAGGTGAGTTTCACACACAAGGGCCAGAGTTGCACCGTGTACTTAACCCGGCCAACCAGGTGGATCGGGCAGTGCGCAGTCCCACTAACTGAGCCAGAGGTCAAGATTTCAGGACTAGAAACTCCCCACTCACTTCCTCTTGGGCCAGCTGGGTTTACGTCATTGACCACTTCCCCATGGGTTGGGGGGCTGCGGCAGCCTATCGGGCTGGGGACATGCTTTATAATTTTCCACCTCTTGCACCTTATTTTAAAAAGGAGCCCCTTAGGTCTTCATCTGCTTTGACCCACCATCTTTTTTATTTGAAGATCTTTCTCATTTCTCCCCTAACTGGGACCCAAATATGCCTTGGTAACCTTTATTTATTCATTGATTGATTGACCCAAATATGCCTTGGTAACCTTTATTTATTCATTCATTCAGACAGGTCCCCATGCCATTGCCTGCGTCTCCTCTTTGGCCCATGAGTGACATGGGCTTAAGCAGTCCTTAGCTGCAAGGATGTTAAAGATACATTTTCCCCCTTATTCTTTCCTTATGAAACAGATCCCCTTATTGTCCCCTTTATTTCCCCTCTTACATGGCCACAAGGTGTGTCAAACCCCTTAGGTCTTACCATAGAGCAGCGTTTTCCAACCTCAGCAACTTTAAGACACATGGACTTCAACTCTTCAGTGCTGGCTGGGGAATTCTGGGACTTGGTCCACACATCTTAAAGTTGCCGAGGTAGAAAAACGCTGTTGTAGAAGGTTTGGCGTTATTCTCACTTGCTCCAGAGGATTCATGGATGTACAGTGGGGCAAAAAAGTATTTAGTCAGCCACCAATTGTGCAAGTTCTCCCACTTAAAAAGAGCCTCTCTCATCTTTTTAAGTGGGAGAACTTGCACAATTGGTGGCTGACTAAAGATGAAAATTACAGGCCTCTCTCAGCCTCTCTCATCTTTTTAAGTGGGAGAACTTGCACAATTGGTGGCTGACTAAAGATGAAAATTACAGGCCTCTCTCAGCCTCTCTCATCTTTTTAAGTGGGAGAACTTGCACAATTGGTGGCTGACTAAAGATGAAAATTACAGGCCTCTCTCAGCCTCTCTCATCTTTTTAAGTGGGAGAACTTGCACAATTGGTGGCTGACTAAAGATGAAAATTACAGGCCTCTCTCAGCCTCTCTCATCTTTTTAAGTGGGAGAACTTGCACAATTGGTGGCTGACTAAAGATGAAAATTACAGGCCTCTCTCAGCCTCTCTCATCTTTTTAAGTGGGAGAACTTGCACAATTGGTGGCTGACTAAAGATGAAAATTACAGGCCTCTCTCAGCCTCTCTCATCTTTTTAAGTGGGAGAACTTGCACAATTGGTGGCTGACTAAAGATGAAAATTACAGGCCTCTCTCAGCCTCTCTCATCTTTTTAAGTGGGAGAACTTGCACAATTGGTGGCTGACTAAAGATGAAAATTACAGGCCTCTCTCAGCCTCTCTCATCTTTTTAAGTGGGAGAACTTGCACAATTGGTGGCTGACTAAAGATGAAAATTACAGGCCTCTCTCAGCCTCTCTCATCTTTTTAAGTGGGAGAACTTGCACAATTGGTGGCTGACTAAAGATGAAAATTACAGGCCTCTCTCATCTTTTTAAGTGGGAGAACTTGCACAATTGGTGGCTGACTAAATACTTTTTTGCCCAAACTTGGCCACTTTAAGATGAGTGGACTTCAACTCCCAGAATTCCCCAGCCAGCCAGTTGAAGGCCACTCATCTTAAAGTGGCCAAGTTTGGACAACACTGTCCTAGTGCCTCATCTGTATCTACATCCATGAAGACTGGTCCTTCTCATCCTGAACTGACCAGGTTTAGGACTTCCTCCTTCACGCAAGATCTAGAAATGACCCAGTTCATGCTGGGAGAATGGAGTTCCAGAGAGATTGGGAGGAACAATCCAAGACTCAGTAGGTCTTAAATGGGCCAGGCAAGGTTTGGAAAAAAGATCAAAGGTGATGGGTGAAGTTTGATGGAATCTGGGCAAGGCCTTGCTTAGTAGTCCAGTCTTCTTCCCAGTGATGCCAAGCTGGGAACGATTTGGTGCCAACCTGAGCAGCTAATAACAAGAGAAGTGGACCTCTGCTCTCTACACACGAGGCAGTTTTGGGCCAGCAGCAGCACATTTTAGTGGGGTTGTCTTTGCCTTGGGAGCAGGAGGCTCCAACGTTCAATCCTTGGCATCAACATCTACAAGTATCTGAAGGATGATGACAGAAATCTTGGGATAGGAGGAAACAGCAGGATCCATGAATCACCTGCCTTGATGTTGGGCAGCCCACTGTCTTGTGATTCAGTGAGAGAAAGGACACTCCATGGAGAAGGTTCTGGGTTGGAATCCTAACATCACCTGTTGCAGCAACCTCTGGATAGCTTTTGTCATTCTCAGGAGTCACCCAAACAAGATAAGCCCAATGTCTTTCCGTGGGAGGATGCATCTTCCTCCAGAGGCGAGGCCTAGACACTTATCATCTTTGAGCAGAAGGACCACAGTCATCTTGCTGTCCAGCTGCCCTGAAGGCTAGCTCGGGCCAGTGGGGGAACGAACGAATTCACAGTGCTATTTTGAAGGCATCTGGGGACAGTTCTCTCTGGATCCCTCTGCCCCTTCCTAAGATGAGATCTGCTGTGGGAAATGCAACCTTCCCCCAGCCTTCTCCAAGACATCATCTCTAAAGCCCCAAATCTTTCCCCTCCCACCTCCCTATCCCTTGTTTGCCAGTGCGCATGAGCTTGGATGCACCAAGACTGATAGGCACCAACACGCCAGAAGACGCCTTTCTTATCCAATCATCTAGTCCTTCGGGAGGGGGCGGGAGTTGGAATCTAGCATCAGCAAATACCCTGAGGAAGTGAGTTCCGGAGATTAATTGCTCGGAGTATTTTTTTTAATAAGGAAGAAGTCAGCTTGTTTTTTCCTTCCTCAGTCACTGGCAGAAACCGCCTTATGAGTCACTGCTACACGTGTCCCGCATTTAGCTAAACGTCGCTAATGATAGAAATGGGGATGGTTTCCTGGTGTCTCCCAACCTAGCCCTCTCCATCTCCAGCAAAGGAATATATCGAACAGGAAAACAACATTGTTAACTCTAACGTGGGCCCTCGCCTGAAGGGAGCAGCCAAATTTGTCTTGAATGCTTGTCTTACCTTGATTTCCAGTGTATTAAGGACTGGTTCCTCAATATTTTTATTAAAATAATCACTGTGATAGCATATAGTAAAAAGAGACAACACCATATAATGATGTCATGAAAAGAGAATAAGTAATAGTTAATGAAGAGGCAGTGAACCAAAACTTTACTGGAAACATAATTAAAAATAACAGGTTACAGGTCGTCCTCGTTTAGTGACCACCATTGGGACCGGCAACTCAGTCTTTAAGCAAAGTGGTCTCTATGTGAAACCATGATGGTGCTTATGATCTGACTTCAGCTTTCCTCTGCTGTACAGACCTGAGAAGGTAATAAATGCAAGGATTGGTTGTAAAATGACTTTTTCATCATAACTGCGAACAGTTGCTGTCCAAGGCAGTCACTAAGCAAGAACTACCTGTATTGATTAAAAGCTCATTTTTAAAAATGCTATCTGTCAAAAGGTAGGAAGAGAGAAGGTCCCAGGAATGTAATACTGTACCAAAAGAGTTCCTCAAAATCAGATCACCACTGAAAAGATCCGTTTTCTGAGTTAGCAGCTTGTATTTTGCACAGGGTATGCCACACCGTGTGCTAGCAGCTGATGTTTTGCAAACCAAATAATTTAAACTTAAGACAAACATCCCCTGTTTTGAAATGTTTCTTTGGCTAACAATTATGAGCAAAGAGTTTAGCAAAAAGCTCCAGAAACATCCCCAGCAACAACCAGGGTTGGGAGGACTGGCAGTGGCACCAAGGACTCAGTAATCAGGCCAACTTGGATGCAGGTTTCTCAACCTCAGCAACTTTAAATTGTGTGGACTTCAACTCCCAGAATTCCCCAGCCAGCATGGTTTTATGGGAGTTGAAGTCCACAAATGCTGGCTGGAAATTCTGGGAGTTGAAGTCCACAAACGCTGGCTGGGGATTTCTGGGAGTTGAAGTCCACGAACGCTGGCTGGGAATTCTGGGAGTTGAAGTCCACGAATGCTGGCTGGGGAATTTTGGGAGTTGAAGTCCACACATCTTAACGTCGCCAAGTTTGAGAATCACTGGGCTAGAGCTTTCCTGCAACCTGGGCTGGAGATCCTCACAAGCGAAGGAAGACTAAGAGTGCAAGATACAGGTGAATCGGTGGATTGTCACCAGTATGATGCACTGTTGGACTCATCGCGCTCAAGGGGTGAATCAGGCGTCAGCGGCCAAATTTGGAAAAACGAGGCCCTGTGTGACACATTGCCCCAAATACTCGGATGAGTAAGCAGTGGCAAATATGCTAATTGAAACGCTTGGATTGGCAGGGTCGCCATCTGTTCCCTTGGTGGTCTCAGCTCTCCCGAGTCCTTGTCTTCCTTCTCCTCTTCTCCCCAGCTGCCCAAATCCAGCATCCTGCCTTTTCCAGCTCCCCTTTTCTAGCTACTTCCAGACAATTCTGCACTGGGTTCCTTCGGGCCCTGCCCCTCCAGCCCTCCCTCTCCAAATCTCTGAATGACTGTCGAGGTAGATGGGAGAGCCAGTTTCTTCTTTTTCAGGAATCAGGAGGAGCCGCAAACCAGCTGTTTCGAAAGAAGGAAGAGAGGTCTAGCTAAGCCGGGGGAAGAATTTCTGGCAACGCCCACTGGAATGGTGACACCAGCTGCCTTGGGAAGTGGGCACTCTTCTCTGTTAGTCTGTAAGCTGGGGGATGCTAGGTTTTAGGTTTCCTATATAGCTAGGGGTCAGACTGGATGACCTTTGGGGACCTTTGCATCGCTGGGTTTCCGCAGCAACAACCCAAAGGGCAGGAACGGCACCTGGAAGGGCAAGGATCCTCACATGTAGGGCACACAGCAGGCAGAGTTTGGGGTGTTCAGAGACGTCAAACCTCAACGCTACAGCTGCTTTGCAGGCTGAGCCAACACCATTCTTTGTCCTTTGCAAGTGTGCGAGGATGAGCCTGAAACAACCTGGCAGAAATTAAACTCTTTGAAATCTGCCTAAGAGAGGGAGCATCACACCTCTGGTGGCAATGAGGGCCACCCATGACTGGCTTCCTTTCCAGCTGTCCTGCAATTCTATTAAACCCAAGTTCTGCATTCTTACGGGGCCTTCATTGTTTACTTATGATTCCCTGAAGTCATGTGGATACCCTTCGGGTTGCGAGTTTAAGAATGGGGCACTCGCCTTCGTTAGTCTATAAGCCAGGGGTTGCTAGGTGTTAAGTTACCCGTATTGGGTGGGGGGCTGCCAGGCATCAGGGTGGGGACCACCCGTTCCCAGCCTGATGCTCCTGCTGGTCAGGCTGGAGCACGACCCAACACAACTGAGAGGGGTCAGCTTGGCCTGTATCATGGGGTCTCCCAGGTGGAACCTTCTGGGCTTGGACTGCAATTTGCTCCCCCATCTGGCCTTAGCTAGGTGGGATTTGCTGCAACACCTAGATTTCCCAGGCTCATGCAAGCAAAGGAAAGCATTTTTCTGAGGCACGTAGGAAAGATGCTGTGAGATCACTGACAGACCTCATCACTTAGGTTAGTGTTTCTTAAGGTCCTAGGAGGTGGTCGTTAAGTGAATCGTGTGGTCATTAAGCAAATCACATGGTTGTTAAGTAAATCAAGCGGTTCCCCATTGATTTTGCTTGCCAGAAGCCGGCTGGGAAGGTCACAAATGGTGACCACATGACCCTGGGATGCTACAACTGTTGTAAGTGCAAGCTGGTTGGCAAGTGCCCAGATCATGATCATGTGACTGTGGGGGCACTGCAACAGTTGTAACTTCAGGCACCAGTCATAAGTCACTTTTTTAGTGCTGTCATAACTTTGAACAGTCGCTAAATGAAGGGCTGTTAAGTGAGGATTACCTGTATGTCAAAATCACTTAAACCACATTGTGACTTAACTGCATCTTGTATGCACTCATCTATACTCACAGGTTTGCCCACTGCACTAACTCATGGGTTTTTTTTACCATAGCCTGTTAACAAGCCAGAATGGCCTGGGTCGTGCATAACGTTAAGTCTTAAACCATAATTAAACCATAATTAAAATATAAAAGCCTCTTCAAGTTAAATTTAATCCCTGCCGTCTTCACGGAGTCAAGGGGTGTCCACAGGGTATGATCTCAAAAGTCAAAATGGCGTGGCACATATAAAAGCAGCAGAGCTCTTGTTCTAGCCACCATCCTGACTTTTTTGACCACACCCTGTGGACACTTCTGATGGAGTCCATGCAGTTTTCTTGGGAGCAATAAAGAAGTGGTTTGTTGCTTTTTTAAGCTGGTTTCCCACTTTGGCCCATAGCCACCAGCCCCACTATGGATTACTGCCAAATATGAACCCAGCCAGAAAGCTGGGATGGACCTCAAAGGCTGTGTAGTCCTACCTGATCTCCTCCTGTCATTGATAGAAAAGATGTGCTCTTTATTACAGAGCAATTCAGATAATGCCACTCACAAAACTCTTTTCCAGAAAGCTTCATCAGAGATGCTACTAAACAAAGCAAAAACAGACTAGAATTCTTCTTCCTATACAAAGAACACCTGGAAAAAGTTGCCTTACTGTTATTATTGTTGCTGTTGTTATTATTATTATTATTCTACCCAGTGTTTCTCAACCTCAGCAGCCTTAAAATGCGTGGACTTCAACTCCCAGAATTCCCCCAGCCAGCATGCTGGCTGGGGGAATTCTGGGAGTTGAAGTCCACGCATCTTAAAGTTGCTGAGGTTGAGAGATACTGATTCTGCCTATTAGAAGTATTAACCTGAGTCTGACCTGATCAGTTTTGATAAGTCTGGGTGGCCGTAAGATCCAGGAGACGTGTCTCCATGGCAGCTAACATGGATGGACCATGTTTCCCACCTCTTGTCAGGGGAGGAAGAAAGGTGTCTGGGAATGAGAAGAAAAATAGAGCAGAAGTTTTAAGCCAAATAGAAACGGTCAGAGAAGAAGAAAAGCTCAGAAGATGTTTGCATTCTGTAAGTTAACCGCGTTTTATTGTCCTACCCAAATTCCAGGGAGATAGATTCTCTCCCTGGAATTTGGGTAGGACAGTAAAAGTTTCTCTCTCTCCTTCTTAGGGTGTTAAAGCATCTAGATTTGTATTAACTATTTGGAAATGAATGCTAATACTGCCAAAAACAAGTTAAATCGTTCCTTTTATATAGGATTATTTTTAGCTAATTTTAATATGGATTTTTATATTCCTATTTTTTTTTAACTGTTTTGGATTTTAACTGTGAGCCACCCAGAGTCACCCTCTGGGGGAGATGGTGGCATATAAATTTAATTAATAAATAAAAATGCGCCATGAGCTGCCACGATTTCCTTCCCAAAGCAACCCAAACTGGGTACGTGTGATGCCCTAGAAAGTTTTTGCTCAAAGAAATTGAGGGCGTTTGTTGTTATTCCTGCTAACATGTGATTGTGATCGTCCTTCCCGCCATCAGCCATCATTTCAAACGAATAAATTGTGTTGGGGAACAAAAATCAATCTGGGGTTGCATACTCCTAAAATGTGATATCTTAGTCATGGGTTCCCAGACTTCCCTTACTGTAATCTGGCAGATCTCCTTCCTCTTCTACTAAAAACAGAAGGCATTGCCGAACCGCGCACTCTTTTGTGCCCATACAGCTGGGAGAAAACCTGGCTGGCCCCCAGTGAAACTTGCTTCTGGGTAGCCCTGTTTTCAGATTCCACTTTACAAGTAATCTAACTGAATCATTTCCCAAGCCACCCATCCTACAACCATTGGCAGCTCTTCCTGTTGGTATGTGATCCACATAATCGTCACCTGCCCTCCTGGCCAGTCTTCGGGCACTCAGGAAGGGTGGCCTAGTAGTTAGAGGAATCCCGCACTGGCCCTGTTCTGGGCTCGGACAGTGTGCTGACAGGTCTCTGAGGCATCTCTTTCCTCCTTCCATAGCTGCCTGTCTAATTCTGTAATGTGGCCCTAATGATAACCATGACTTTGAAGAAGAGGTTGTGGTATCGCCAGTCATCCAAAGGCACATGGAACGGAAAGCAGAGAAGACGGGAAGAGAGAGAGGTTGGCAGAGAAGGCAGAGACGGGGTGGCAGCCAGGAATCCTATTAGTGGGAGGAAATTAAGCAGAACTGGGAGTACCCATCGTGCCAGAGGGAAAGTGCAAATGTTTCCAGCAACCCTCAACCTGTTTCTCTCCAGATTGATGGAATACCCCTCCCATCATTCCCAGCCAGATGCAACACCCATTCTGTAGCAGGAGGAGGAGGAGGAGGAACTTTATTGGGTAACATCCACTTAATAATTCACTTGCAGGCAGCTTTGTCATGGGGGATGCTAGTTGCCAATGCCTCACGTACAGATCAGCTCCTTCCCCAGACATCTTTTTCACCATCTCCTGTTCTTTTATACATTCCTATGTTTAAATACAGGAAGAGAGGAAAATAGGGGGAGATCTCTGTATTAACAAATCACCCTGTCTCTCATCTACCCTACATCAGTCCTCCGCTGTATTCTAACCACCCAAATGTTGAAAGACCCCAGTGTTCAATTTCTAATAAGCCATCCTCAGAAGGGAACCTGTTGAAGTGAGCAAATATAATAAAATAAATATAGCCCGTTAAATGTTTATCCTGCTTTTCTACCAAGCAGAAAGCAACAGCTATCTAAACATGTAAAGGGATTGATGGATTGATTGATTGATTGATTGATTGATTGATTGATTGATTGAT